TGTGGTCGTCCTCATCACAGATAATGGATGGACGCCTCAGATCAGCATAGATGCCAGACTGTGACGAGAAGAATGACAGCGATTCCTGATTCTCTTAATGTAGATGTGGTAATGTAGCTGGGTTTCCATCACATCATGAAAAAATATTTTTAAAAATTGCCATAAAAAAGGAAAGAAACAAATCCCAAATGTGAATTAGCTGCATTTCCATCAAGTGGTTAGAGCAGCTCACTGTAGTATTGGTAACCTAGCAACCAACAATATGCAAGCCAAGCATAATCCCAAAGACTATAGATAAAGACCATAGAATACACAAGGCATGTCACTGTATACACACACACACACATAAACACGCACAAACACATACACACACACTCACCGGCCAATTTATTAGGTACACCTGTTAGGGATGTAACGGTATTGTAAATACCGTCATACCGCAATATAAATTTTTTTCGATATTACCGTAGTCATATGACTCTGTAAAACTATAGGTCTTCTGAGAAAATTTGCTCAGGCGAATGAAGCGAACGGGAGGTAGCGAAAACTACAATTCCCATCAGCCCAGGGGTGGCCATCATCCCTTGCGGTCTGTTGTCGCTACAGATCCAGTAATGCGGAAATGGAGTGTGCTGCTAGAAGCGGGCATCAAAAAGAGCTGGAAATCATCGAACCTGAAGCGGGTATTGTCGCCGCACGCGTACTGAATAGCGGTGTTGTCGCGCGCGTTCTGATCAGCTGTGTTGTGGCGCGCGTACTGAATAGCGGTATTGTTGCGGCGTTCTGGTCAGCTGTGTTGTCGTGCGCGTACTGTAAAGCGGGGGGAGGGGGGGGGGGGGGTTGAGCGCGCATACTCAAGAGCGATGTTGTCGCGCGCCTACTGAAGGGCGGGACGGAGGGTGTGACACAGCACACTGTTCAGATTGATACAGACATGAGACCTCTCTCACTCATGGCTTGTCCTCTCAAGTGGGGGAAAGACAATGCACAACGTTACCCACTGCTGTCAACCTGGGCCAAGTCATATCTCTCTTGTCCCAGAAACCTCAGTCCCAAATGAGAGGGTTTTTTCTGTTGCAGGGGACATTGTAAATGCCCAGAGATACCAGCTTTTACCAGATTATATTTATATGATAATTTTCCTTTAAACCCATCTCTATCTAAGTGAGTGAGTGATTAAATGTTGAATGTGATGAGTTTTCAACACTACTAAATTGAAACTTCATTTTTTTACATGGTTTTACATGTCATTGACACTTTTGGCACTTTTTTGGAGTATTTTCATAAGTTTTGTTTTTTCCTTTAAATGATCCAATAAATACCGTACCGTGACATTCATACCGAGGTATTACCGTACCGTGAAATTCTGATACCGTTACACCCCTAACACCTGTCCAACTGCTCATTAACCCAAATTTCTAATCAGTCAGTCACATGGCAGCAACTCATTTAGGCATGTAGACATGGTCAAGACGATCTGCTGCAGTTAAAACCGATCATCAGAAGAGGGAGGAAAGGTGATTAAAGTGACTTTGAACATGCCGTGGTTGTTGGTGCCGGACAGGCTGGTCTGAGTATTTCAGAAACTGCTGATCTACTGAGATTTTCACGCACAACCATATCTAGGGTTTACAGAGAATGGTCCGAATAAGAGAAAATATCCAGTGAGCGGCAGTTCTGTGGGTGCCAATGTCTTGTTGATTCCAGAGGTCAGAGGAGAATGGCCAGACTGGTTCCACCTGGTAGAAAGTCAACAGTAACTCAAATCACCATTCAATATAACCGAGGTCTGCAGAAGAGCATCACTAAATGCACAAAAGGTCCAATCTTGATGCGGATGGGCTACAGCAGCAGAAGACCACACCAGGGTTCACTCCTGTCAGCTAAGAACAGGAAACTGAGGCTACAATTCACACAGGCCCACCAAAAGTGGACAATAGAAGATTGGAGAAACGTTTCCTGGTGTAATGAGTCTCGATTTCTGTTGCGACATTCGGATGGTAGGGTCAGAATTTGGTGTCAACAACATGAAAGCATGGATACATCCTCTCTTGTATCAACAGTTCAGGCTGCTGGTGGTGGTGTAATGGTGTGGGAGATATTTCTTGGCACACTTTGGGCCCATTAGTACCAATTGAGCATCGTGTCAACGCCACAGCCTACCTGAGTATTGTTGCTGACCATGTCCATCCTATCACCACAGTGTACACATCTTCTGATGGCTACTTCCAGCAGAATAACACGTCATGTCATAAAGCATGAATCATCTCAGATGGTTTCTTGAACATGACGATGGGTTCACTGTACTCAAATGGCCTCTACAGTCATCAGATTTCAATTCAAAAGAGCACTTTCGGGATGTGGTAGAAAGGGAGATTAGTATCATGGATGTGCAGCTGACAAATCTACAGCAACTGCGTGATGCTGTCATGTCAATATGGAGCAAAATCTCTGAGTAATATTTCCAGTATCTTGTTGAATCTATGCAACAAAGGATTAAAGCAGTTCTGAAGGCAAAAGGGGTCCAACCCGGTACAAGTAAGGTGTACCTAATAAAGTGGCCAGTGAGAGTATCTACATTTAGTGTAATAGAGTGCTCGGACAGAGAATCTGCTTTGCGTGACTTAAACATAATGGAGTCAGAGTTTATTCAACTAATGTGTTTTCATCTCCCATTATTTGCATCGAACATTTTTCTGCAAATAATCAGTTTACAATTTTAAGGTTTTTTATTGGTTATGTGGCATTCCCATCACTCGTTTCTCATGTGGTACTTTCAAATGCACATTAATGATGGAGACCCAGCTTGTGAACAAGTGCCGTACTGTATGTGTTGTAGTCACTTGGAGAACAAACATGTAGCAGCTGCTATAGATGTAGAACATCATTTATTATTGACGGTTAATGCAGTATCAATGGTTTAATTTTATAGATCAAGTTAAATGTGCAGATATTGAACATGAAATAAATCACATCAGAGGAATTGTTTATCTTTTGCTTTATTCAACTAACAATTAATGTTTGATTAATATTTTGATAGTTACACTGTCAATAATTTTCTAAAAATGTTGTAGATATTTATTTTTGTATGATAATTTTAATAAAAACTTGATTTGTGCTATATTTTAGTGTTTGTATTTTTTATAACATTTTTTGCTTACTAAAAACAGTTTTATAAACAATGTAATTATTTGCTTTCAGTTGAATGAAACTAATAAAGAAATTTGCTTTTTAAATCTCAAATATCTCAAATAAATAATTGAAAGTGCACAAAAAAGCCAGCACTATGTAAACAGTAGAATACAAAATTAGCCTTCCCGCGAGATAAAATTTTTTGTTTAAATATTTTAAACAAAAAAGTATTAAGTATTATGTACTGTCATCATGGCAAAGACAAAAGAAAAGTTTTTAAAACTATTATATTTTAAATTGCATCACTAATAATGATGTCTTTAATCTTGTAGACAAACACACACACAGACATACATATAGATTGAGTTTTGAATCTATACATTTTTTATTCTACTAAATTGAGTAATAAAATCTGTATTCACAATATTTCTTCACACAGATAACACTTTCTAAACAAAACAACTACACAGAAAACGGAACCAAAAAAATGTTATACACACATAATCAAATTACAAAGAAACAAAACCACCTTCAGAAACAAAACACAAAGCTCCATTACTGCACCAAATCATTTCATAATTAATCAAGTCTTCCACAGATTAACAAAATCTAAAATCAACCCACTCTTGATTTGTCCTGCATTAAAAACACCCTTTAGAAACATTAGAAACATCTATTTTATGGGTAATATACTCTAAATTTCCATTTTACTTATCCCTTTGTGAAATTAAGCTACTGACAAACATCTTTTGTTGGCTGCTAATATATCAGGGGTCGGGAACCTTTTTTCAGCAAAGAGACATTTCTGATTTTTTTTTTTTAGCAAATGCATTTTTATAGAGCCATTTGAGTATTCCTACAATAAATAATACAGGTTTAAACAAAATCTTTATTTTTGTCCTTGGACAAATAAAAAAAATAAATAAAGAAGCAACAAATGTTAAGCAAGTCCATGAATGAAGAAAGGAAAAACTTGAATGAATGTTGTTTGAATTTATGTGCGCAAGGTTACCATAGAAACGTAAGTTGTTTGCCCTTTATCACAATTCAAGTTTATCCACAGGGCACATTGGTCGAAACGTTCTTTTAATGTTAAATGAGTTGTTGTTCATTTTACTGTAAAATAAAATACAAAAAATACAATAAAAATTTAATTTTAATTGTATTTTCAATAGGAAACTGATTTCTAGTGATGTTATCATTTAAACCAGAAAATAATACTGAAGGGAGACAGCTGGAGAGCCACATATTTTTGGTCAAAGAGCCACATGTGGCTCCCGAGCCATAGGTTCCCTACCACTGTTATATATAATATATGTTGTCAGAGGAAGTATTGATTATGCTCAGGGTGTGAGTTATACATTGACGATTGGGGCAGGGGTCAATGTAATGTTAGGTTTTTTAAAACATGCTTCAGTTAATCAAAATTATGTACATCTGATTTATTAGTAAACTGTATTTAGGTTTGCAGTGTTCCCTACTGAAAAAAACAGCTTAAACCAGCCTAGGCTGGTTAGCTGGTCGACCAGGCTGGTTTTAGAGGGGTTTTAGCCATTTCCAGGCTGGTATTAGCTGGTCAGGCTGGGAGATGACCAGCTAAAACCAGCTTAGCAAGGCTGGAAGCCCAGCGAAAACCAGCTATGTCCAGCTTTAACCAGGCTGGTCAAGCTGGTTTTAGCTGGTCATTTTCCATGGCTGGAAAACAGCCTGGAAATGGCCAAAACACCTCTAAAACCAGCCTGGTCGACCAGCTGAAACCAGCCAAACAGCCTAGGCTGGTTTAAACTGGATTTTCAGCAGGGTTTTGAGGGCTATTTAGAGTATTCTGACCAACTGTCTCAACCAGCCTGGTTTTAAGAGGGGTTTTCGCCATTTCAAGGCTGGTCTTAGCTGGTAAGACTGGAAAATGATCAGCTAAAATAACCAGTTTGCCCAGCCTGGATTAAGCTGGTCATAGCTGGCCTCTCAGCCTGGCCAAGATAGTTTTAGCTGGTCATTTCTCAGCTAAGACCAGGCTGAAAATGGCCAAAACCCCTCTACCAGACAACCAGCATAGCCAGCCTGTTTTTTCAGCAGGGACAAACAACTATTTTATGATAAGTGCATTGTTGACAGACACTTACGAAGTCTATCTGCCTGTTTCACACTGTTGAACGTATTTTCTAGCAATGGCGATCTGATTGGCGTCATTATGCGTTCACAATGGTATGAACCATTCTGTGTGTGTGTGTGTGGGGGGGGGGGGGGGGGGGTATTTATTTTATATATTATGTGTATTTATATTTTTGGTTATTTTAATTGTTAACATCGTTAAAAATACAGATCAAACTACTTCTCACTATTAAAAGGCTGGCCCTGTATCATCTTGTTTTGACGTCCTTCAGGATGGATCAAGCGTTATTAAGGTGTCAATCCCCCGCAACCCCCCTGTAATTGGCAGGCAGCCTGATTATGCTCTTGTCTTTTCGCGCAAAAATAAAAGATCAGAATTGTTGATGTATTTCTCCACATGACTTATTTGCTCCTGTATTATTTTTGTCTCCTTCTTCTGCTGTTTCTCCCACTCCTCCAGCTCGAGTTTATCATGAAGCAGTATGGTTTGCATCCAGCGCACAGTGGAAATACTGAGAAACAGCGCCGCCTGCAGGACGAGCCGCACAGCCACAAACACAGAAGAAACCACCGCCAAACACTGACAGAGACACTCCATAAACAAACACGCCGACTCCAGCAAACACACGGCGGCTTTTCTCCAACACGCCCTGAAATAATCTTTTGGTATTGCTGTATAGAAACTCAAGTCACACTCAGGGTAATCGAGCTGTTTTAAAAAACCGTCAGCAGTAAAAAAGTGTTTTGCGGCATGACGCAGGTATAAGAGCGCCAGGTAAAGCTGACACACCGCTGTCCTCACCGTTTGAAGAACCAGACCACACTGGCTAACAGTTTTCCCTGTAAATGAGAAATAATTGCACACTGAGCAGACAAACAAATGTTAATGTTAGGTTAATGTCGATACTTGGTATAATAATGCCTCAGAAGAAAAAAACAAGACGAATTGCGAGAGAGCCTAAAGAAATAGTCACAACAATGAGATCTAACATTATAGCATACCAATTTTAAAGTGAATATACTTGTAAAATAGTATGCTATATGAAGTGTATTTATCGCAATAGTGTGAGAAATTCTTATTAGCCTAATTAAATTATTATTGCTATTTTCTCTTCATGACGGTTGTTATTCAAATCCTTTGTCACTGATATAGTAATGTTCATGTTTACCGTCCACCGCAAAAATAATCCAGATGACCAAGATCCATAAGAGGAGAATCCACATTTTGAAGACGATTGTGATGCTCGTACAGCACAGGTGAATGTGTAATGATCACCTGTTCCTAAGAAACGAAACTCATACTGTAAATTCTCCTCCCACACAATGTTAGTCTGAGGAATAGACGCCATTAATATTGTTTTGCGAAACAGTCATACCTTTGATTGATAGACTTCTTTACACTTCAAAAAGTTTTTACAAGTAAAAACAATTAAGTTAAAGCACTATTAAAGCCAAACGTATAAAGAGTATCGTAATAAAAATAATATTTAAGTAAATATCCTTTATTTAAACCTACATTTTACAGAGGCCTTTCAACAAAAATGCAGGCCAAATTTGTGCCTGATCTCTCTATGTTTGCAGAGATAATCATAGTTCTGTGACGTGAAAGGGAGAGAGGGGATGGATGCAGTATGGAAAGGTTGCAACAATATTCCTCCATGCAGGATCTAGAGCATTGGTGGGCCAACTTTTTAGACCCGTGGGCCACATCAAGTTCTGCAAACCAACCCTGCTGAAAAATCCAGCTTAAACCAGCCTAGGCTGGTTGGCGTGTTTTAGCTGGTCGACCAGGCTGGTTTTAGAGGGGTTTTGGCCACTTCCAGGCTGGTTTCCAGCCATTTCCAGCCTGGTCTTAGCTGGTCAGGCTGGGAGATGACCAGCTAAAACCAGCTTGACCAGTCTAGCCAAGCTGGGAGTCCAGTGAAACCAGCTATGTCCAGCTTAAACCAGGCTGGTCAAGCTGGTTTTAGCTGGATTTGGCTGGTCATTTTCCAGCCTGACCAGCTAAGACCAGGCTGCAAATGGCTGGAGACCAGCCTGGAAATGGCCAAAACCCCTCTAAAACCAGGCTGGTCGTCCAGCTAAAACCAGCCAACCAGCCTAGGCTGGTTTAAGCTGGATTTTCAGCAGGGAAGTGAAGGGCCCCATGTCAAATCCTTAAGAAAATAACTTATTAATATTAGCAGTACGCATGGAGCATGTAATATTGGACAGTGTCACATTTAACACGCATTTTTTTAATAGTTATTTTTAATAGTCAAATTAATTAGCACTGCTAATATTTACTTATCAATCATCATAAAACAATAAAATATTCCCTTATAAAATAATAATAATAATAATGTAATAATTTTTGCAGTGGAAAATAGAAAAGATATTGTTTGATAGAAAAAAAATCTCATAATAACATGTAATATATATATATATATATATATATATATTTTTTTTTTTTTTTCTTTCTTTTTGCCTGATTCATTTTCAGTCATTAAAGGTCGAGTGCATATTAATATTCGAGTGTGTGTTCTAATTCTAGTGGTAGCACTAACTGTACTGTGTGCAATACTGCCGTCAAGTGGCATTCACTTGTATTGTATCATTAATTTACTAATTCTGAAACCCAACAAGTACTCAGAAGCAGCATTTTAAAAACTCCCTCATGGGCCGGATGAAAGTGTTTAGCGGGCCGCATATGGCCCAGGGGCCGTAGTTTGCCCACCTCTGATCTATAGTGATGATCAGGACCAGATGGAATCTACGGACGTTTTTTGCTATTTCTGCTGAGAATTTTGGTAAAAATCAGCGGATTTCTGCGAAATTATTTTGGAAGTATCCAGCGGAGTATCATAACTAAAACCTTAATATATTTAATAAAAATTATTAAATTACTGAATAAAAACGAAATAAATTCAGATTTACACATTTACTCGAGTAAATAAACAGAATTAATGATGGGCTAATAATCTGCAGAAATCTGCGGAATTCTGCGCGCGCAGATTCCGTGTGGGCCTACTGATGATACATATTCTCAGTTAGACCCTCCTTCAATCAGAGAAAAATCAGAGACTCATGATCAATCCTTCAGTGTAAAACGCATTTTGAAAAAAAAAAAAAGGTAATTTCTTTAATGTTTTTAAAATTTCTCATACCGTTTCATCTGCAACATTATTCATTTGTATAATTTAAATGACTGTTTTCTTAATTTTAAATGGATAAGTGTTAAAGGGTACCTATGGTGAAAAACCTTTCAAGCTGTTGTATCACATCCTGTAGTGGATTGGTTGTCGTGAGAAAGTGGGGGCCCCAAGGTCCCCCGATTCGACCCCCAACACAATGGGCAGTACATTGAACACATTTTATAAGTGGTCAGAAACTTGTAAATAACTCATGAAAGAATAAAGTTATGTTAAAACCAAGCACATCATTGTTTTTCTTGTGAAATTCCCAATAAGTTGATGTGTCAAATGACCCTCTTCCTATTGAAAAAACAAAAGTTAGATCCAAGATGGCCGACTTTAAAATGGCCACCATGGTCACCACCCATCTTGAAAAGTTTGGCCCCTCACATATACTAATGTGCCACAAACAGGACGTTAATATCCCCAAACATTCCCATTTCATTAAGGTGTATCCATATAAATGGCCCACCCTGTATAATCATATATACAAATATTATAGTAATGGGGGTGGGTGTCCAACAGATGTGGGTTTAACATATAAAAATTTTGGGTTTCCACCAAAAAACAAAAAAACTGTCCGAAAAAGAGCACAAAAAGTGTTGCATCTGTCCTCACTCTCACACTAATAATGAAATCCTTTGTCCTAATAATGAAATCCTTTGAAGTTGCCAACAAATAAATGAAAACATTATTGAAATGCTTCAAAACAATGTTCCTTAAAGAAAGAGGACGACATTTGGATATTTTTCCTTCAACAGTGCAGAACATAATAAAAAGATTCAAGGAATCTGGACAACTTTCAGTGGGTAAAAGACACGAGCGCAAGCCTAAGCTGAACTGTAAACTCCAATCCCTCAGGTGGCACTGCATCAAGAATCCTCATTCATCTATAAGTGATATCAACACATGGGAAAACCTTAGTCAGGTACTACAATACATAATTACATCCACCAATGTCAGTTAAAACTGTACTGTGCCAAAAGGAAGCCCTATGTTAACAGTGTCCAGAAGAGCCGTCAACTTCTCTGTCTCAGAGGCATCTAAGTTGGACCACAGTGGAAACCTACTGTGGTCAGATGAATCAGTATTTCAGGTATTTTTTGTGGGAGATTTGGACACTGTGGGCTCCAGCACAAAGAAGAAAAGGATCATCCAGTTACCAGCAACAAGTCCAAAAACTAGGGTCTGTCATGGTCAAATGCACCTAGCACAGGTAATTTCATTAATACTAAAAAAGTACATTGAGGTTTTGGAGCACAATATGCTGCCTTCTTTTCCAGGGACACCCATGCATGTTTCAACAAGACAATGCAAAAGGAAGGAACAAGATACAGGTATTTGGCTGGCCTTTCCGCAGTCCGGACTTGTCTCCAAAAAAGAATGTGTGGTGCATTTTTAAGCGCAAAATGTGACGAGGCCCGCACTGTTTCCCACCTTAGGACTTCTTTGCAGGAAAATGGGACAAAATGACAGCCGAAACACTTCATCACTTGGTGTCTTCAGTCCCTAAACATCTTTAAGTGAAGTTTCCCAAACTAATTTCGAGAGGAGCACGTGATAGAATTGACTACAGCTGATCCTTATCACTAATCACTAACTAGCCAATCAGATCACTCTAAATTTAATATAAATATCCAGCCTAAAATTCATTCCTCATCTTCGTTTTTGGAAACCCCCCCATCCTTCGGTGGCTCGGTGGCTAGCACTGTTGCCCCACAGCAAGGAGGTCATTGGTTCAACACTAGCTGAGCCAACCGATACTCTCTGTGTGGAGTTTGCATGTTCTCCCCGTGTTCGCGTGGGTTTTCCCCGGGCACTCCGGTGTCCTCCCACACCCAAAAAACCATGCAAAGTTAAAGTCACAAGCACATACTACAAATTAGCGCCAATAGTGATTTATTTTTGGAGCTATCGAGAACTACCTGATGTTATATCCCTCCAAATGCTTATTGACCAGGCGGGAGCCTTGGGCTCATCTATCACCGAGCTCAGGGTTCTTTCCCGGGACAGCATGCCAAACTAGCTTAAATAGTCAAGCAGTATCTAAGTGTGAACTCTTTAAAGTGTTGTGAAAAGGAATGTCAACATCACAAAGTGGTAAAAGCTTTACTGTTTTTTTTATCTGCAATGAAATACAAGTCAAAGTAAATTTAGAAATCACTTCTTTTTATTTTAAAATTTGCATTTTCCATACTGTACCAACTGTTTCTGATTTGGGGTTGTAGTTCAGTATCTTCTGTGTCAGGTCAGGGTGCACATTTACTACTATAAATATTCCTATTATAAATAGAAACCTTGTGTGTTGCGCTACTGACTCTAATGGCAATACGTCATCCTGCCCATAGTACGTGTACACCCTCATGACGACATGGAATAAAATACATACATATATTTTAACAGTACAAAATAAAAGTCATTAAATATCCTTTTACCTCTTCACCATAAGAAAGACACAGAGACGCAGCTTTTAGCACAAAAACAGTACATTTAATTCAAGTGTTCCCCAGTACAAGTGCACAGTAAAGCAGCAAATGTGTTCAGCTGCTTTAACTGCGTACAGAGAGAATCATGGAAGGATGAACTGCTACTATAACACTCCAAAGACCATCGAAATACAACAGAACTACAGCCACACTGAGAGTGAGAGAAGAGGATATACGTGTGTTACCAAAGAAAGAGACTTGCGGACTGTTCAGATGGACGAGGCTGTACGCCAATAAATACTGAGGCAACAACAATCAAATATAAAATAAAAAAACACAGTCTGACTGTAGCAAGAGTACACGGAGGGAGGTTGTAGAAAGGAATGTTGGGTAATGCAGTTTTGCCATCACTTTCAAGCAGTTACGTAACAGTGTACAGTAATGCCGCCTTCAAGTCCTGCGTGGAAACTACGACTTACGAGTTCGAAAGCTGACGTGAAGGAATCAAATGTTTTGTATTTACTTCCTGACAAACGCTAGACGTTTTTTTTTATTTGATCTGCAGAAACGAAGAGTAGATGCGCATGAAGTGTCTTTCAATAGTCACTACTGCAAGGAATGATGGTAAATGTGGTTTTGTGTCCTCATAAACTGCCTAGTTTGACATTTACTATGCAATGAAAACCAAATTATGACCAATTAACTGCTTCGAAACCCAAAAACGTTAATGTGCGCTCGACTCGTAAATGCAACGTTTCCGACGTGACCTGAAGGCAGCATGTGGATACAGTATGTATGAATGTTTCTTACCGAGAGGCACATACTACAGTAATGTCTAGGCTAAAACACATGAATCTGTACAATTTTATTTATCTTTTTGACTTTTACATTTTCATCCAGTACAAAGTTAAAATGCCTTTTTGTTAATATATTCGTAAAAGAGTAAAATAATAGTCTCGCTTCAAGAAAACACAACATAAAAACAGTCATTGTCAAGACGGTCACTTCTTAACGATATAGTTTTTACCTCATTCTTCTCTAGTTGTTTAAGAATAAATTGTATAGCACCTTTTTGAAATGACCTTCGCAATCTCTCAGATTCTAAACATTATTCCTAAAATAACCTCGCGCAAGACCCCG